GACTAGTGCGAGGAGGGCCACAGACAGTCGTCGCCGTTACTGACTGGCCGGGTTGTTTAAAGGGGCGTTAGAACGCGGCTTGAAGGAACAAGGTGGTTGACACTTGCGTGCTTTTGGGCTATAAGATTGGTGATACCAGCACCAAGAGGGGCGGGCACGAGATAACGAGCTGGATCGTGAACGTGGTCGATGCCTGTTGATCTCTGACCGTTGCAGGCGATCGGTCAAAGCATCAAACTTGGCTTGTATGTGCGATATAGAAACAGGAAGCGGGTCGGAATCGTGGGTGGGTCCAGGGCGGGAGACGGAGTTTACGGGGATATTGGGATATGTTTCGTGTATCTTATACGCCATATGTGCTAGTTGCTGCTGTGGTCAGGATATTGGGATATGTTTCGTGTATCTTATACGCCATATGTGCTAGTTGCTCCCAGCTGTGGTCATCAACGAAAGCGCTGATGACGCGGGACATGGAGGGTGGGAGTGTGTCGAGACATAGTTAGGTCATAATTTCCACAGCTGGCTTACGGCCGCAGAGGAGACTTTGCATGTGGCGCAGCATTTGTGATGGCGATCTGGCCCTAAGTTCGACAGTGGTGAATAGATCCCGTAGCATTTTGTTTTCTGATTTCCCTGTCCGGTCGAAGGGCGTCATACGGATTTTCCTTAGGAATACCTTCCAACAGATCTTCAACTTCTGCTGCTGCATCAGAAGAAAGATGCTGGACAACATGGGAGAACCGGGTGACTTGGGAAGTGATGCGTCGGGTGGCAAAAACAGTTTCCACCTGATGAAACCATACCCTAGGGTTGTGTGGAGTTTGTGTGGAGTCTGGCAAACGTATGCTAATCACATTCTCGACCAAATCCGCTGAATCAAACTGTGCCCCCATAATTACCGGACAAAAGAAACTAAATCACGACGACTTGAAAGGAAAAGCTTTCAAAAAATATGTAGAAATACTCGGGCTCACCAAATGTGTAGTGGTCTGGATACACAATAGGTTAGTTTACCAGGAGGGTGTGGCAAAGAAATAAAAATAATTACGCTAGATCGGGTATACAAAAATAAAGAGATCAGATGGAACAGACTCACGAAGAATTGTTCTCTATAAAATAGTTCCTCGTTGGCCCAGTTCAGCGAATAAACAATAATCCAATTATGGTGGTCCAGAGGTTTTCTTCTGAACAGTTCCCACATATAATAGATACCGAGGATGTCTGAAATGCTTTGGTACCAGAGTTAGCACATGAGACTCGCGAATGACCGCTGAAGGCGCGACCGAAATCAGAAGAGAGAGTCGAAGCACCTAACCACGCTTGTATTCCGCGAAATTGTACAAGTGCGTGTTTATGTAATTTTTCGTATTCAAACAAAGAACGATTATGCGATTGATGAAATAGGTAGTGTTATAATGGAATTAAAATTAGGGTACAAAACGCCACAAGACCAAGAAACCTCGACGTGGCACAATACGTCGAATATCTGGCAGATATATTATATTAGGCACACAATGTTTTCCACATGTAATAAGGCTAGATGATGATACAGTCATGTAAGTGAGACACCCTTCAAAAATAAACAGCATTCATGGCAATCCATGTCACGTAACTTTTCTGACAGTGAGCAACTAACCGCTACATCCGCTTCATTATTTTATTTTTAAATTTTGCTATTTTATGCTGGCTAGCCAAATCGGTTTTTTTCGCTGCTCACAATGGGACTGCACAAATTTAATTCTATGCCAGTTCGAACATAAGTATGAGAGTTCCCGCGAAAGTTAGAACGAATCACACAAGGGTGCTACGGTTTACGAACACATTACTGCTTTGTCACTTAAATAGAAGAAACTAACGTTAACAAACCTTACGTTAACAAAGGCAGCCACGTCCGCCGATAGCAAAACCTTATTCCTGTTGGAGGATAATGGCGAACTCGAACGTATACTCACCTGTAAATCACAAAACATGCGCAAGTGCGCGTTTTGGTTTAGCACCGTTTTGGTCAACAGAATTAGAAAGCGAATATGGTGGTTGGTAGTGGTTACGTTGTAAGTTTTCCCGCCATGGAGTTTCCACCATTGCGTGACAACCTGCCTTAGGGGCTTTGACAAAGTTGTTGGTGCGCTGGGAAATTGTCCCGCTTGGCTATGACACACCTGTCACATCAGAGCAAATGATTCATTCATCTTACATCCATCGTTGAGCGAAAAGGACCGGAGTGTCCGACCTGTTTTGTCACTTGGATAGCTGATACATCGACGAAGAAGGCCCTAATTTTCGTGGCTCATCCAAGCGATATTTGGAGTAGATCAAGCTTTGTAAGTGTTTTAGGATCACGTCCAGCTGTTCAAGCCATTCAACGATCGTCCATATGTGTATGAGCTTGGTGCCTAAGTTAGCGTACTTAGGACGAGTTGTTACGCAATTTCGGCAAAAATTCCATCACATGACACACGTTCATCATTTAAACTGAAGTGCGTGTGACTTTTGTGTTTATGTGCACTCACGATGACCGACTGCCAGTGACTTCCTGATTACCGACGCAACAGGAGAAAGGGGCCTACGTTTTGGACGTCACGCAGCGGATCGTTGCTGGTGAACACTAAAGCGTGAGGAACTCTCGCCAAATGTCTTGTGTGGACTCACAAGACTGATTGCCCCAGCAGGGCAGGCGGAAAATGTAACAAACTTCAGCTAGAACGCACGATCGAAGCTAACGGAAATGTCAGAAAAATTCGCTGAGATCGTGTTAGGTTCTAGCAGTGAACTTTGGAGGACGTAAAATCACTAGAAATACATTCGAAGTTCCCCTGAGCACTATCGCCCTAATCTGGTGCTAGTGTGTTTCTAGAAGCGAAAGCTAAATCACTATGCACGCGGATGGCGGCACCAAACGTAGAAAACTTGGTTGACACAGTTGGCGAACAAGACGACTAATCGTATTGAGATATCTATAGAGAGGCGTGGGCCAACACAACAGACAAATCCGATACAGACGCAGTCTAAATTCATCACTAGACAACAGCTAGGCAAACACGACAACGTGGTATTCGTATCAATTTTGGTGAGCAATGCAAGCGCATAAAAATATACTGGGGCATTTCTATTCACGTGTTTGTTCTCCATCGCAGAACATTTTAGACGGACAACAATAGACTTGTCCGTTTGAAAGGAAGAGTTTGATAGGCGAGCAGGCAGGTTATTTGCACAACCGTAACGGAGGGATAGCAATTTACAGATTGAAGCACGGGTCACAAATATGCGGAATTAATGGAAACGAATGGAAGCGAAGAGCGCAGAGAATGAAGTTATCAGTGCGAAATGGGTGAGTGCAACATAGGAGTTGTATGATAACCAACAAAATATAACGCGCTGTAACTGTTTCATTGTGAGCGGAAACCAGATACTGACACTTCGCATTTATTTGAGATACCAATCGATGTACTTGTACAGCCTTGATTGTGCTGCGAGTACCACAATAAAGGCGATATTTGACTCGCCGGCTTAATTATCAGCCCGTTCTTTCTCAATTACCGCGTGGAAGGCAGGAACGCTGTATTCTCATTATTCTGCATCTATTGCGGTGAGATGCCTAAATTGGTTCATTAGCGGTCGTCTGTAATCCATCGTATGGTCGATTGCATCCGCACACACACATTTGCTTGGGATGCCGTCAACGAGAGTGATATAAAAGGTGATGGATTTTGGCGGCCTATGTATTCGGGGGGCAACTTCACTAAAATGATTAACCCGGTTTTCGGGCTCGTAATTTTAAGCATGGGAAGCACTTCGCTTGCCCAAAATCGCCGTGAGTTTGATCTAAGATTTTTCTATCGTGGATCGTTTACAATGCATCTTTTCCCGTTAAATAAAATACGGCACCCATGCTGACTTCTCCAATATGCATTTTCACCATCCTCTCGGCAGGTTTCATTTTCGAGCACTTTTATTTCAATTTTCGATGGTTGTAATACATGTTTCCGCCCGTCAAATTTCATTTAACACTTTCTTTTGTATTTCAGTTACACAACTCAGTTCCGTTTTTGCAGAGTACACTCCTGTCTGTAAGTATACAAATGTGATGCATGCATGTCTAGGCTTTTTTCAGGTGGAATACTTTAATTAGCTACAACGCTTTATTTCCCATCCCGGTACTTTTGCTGATCACCAAACACCAGCTGCGGACCACACTGCCGAAGTCACCCAGTTGCTGATGGCGGCTGTGGCATCTTAGCCAGAAAAACAGCGTCTTTTAAATTAAACTGTACTCAGTGGTAGCAGAGCTCACATTTAGTTAAAAGAGACGGTGTGCATGATTCGCTTGTAATAACCGTATTATTTCCGGTTCAAACGGGTCAGAATCTTCAGGCTACGAATTTACTATATTCTAATATATAACTGAAAGATATTCGACGTACGCTGCCACGTCGAGGTTTCTTGGTCTCCAATAGTTTTGTGCTCATAATCTGATATAGCGTTCAAACTTAAAGGCGGAACGTCGGAACGGAGGTATATCGTAGCGGATTATGTGTTTCCTAGAGAACAAGTTAAATGCCGAAATCATGAAATCGCCCCAGCGCTCTCATATTATGTTGTTAATCACCTGGAATATATGAAGCAGCACTTGGAATACTGTAAAATATTTGGTGCAATGTGTTGTACGAATGTTTGAGTCCTGAACGACGGGAGATGCAGGTCACTCAGCTGGAATGAAACAAAATATTCAAAAATTGACTACAACCTGTGGGGAATTATTGAAAACTGCAGCATCCGAAAGCACCGTATGCAGGCATTGGAAGCCGTTCCATACGTTTCTATAGCAGACACTCGTTGCTAGCTATCAGTTAGAGCACTCTTGAGTGTCTTTTCATGAGATTCGCTTAGAGAGGTGGACTGTGTTCTTCCAGTCACTCTTCGCGCGGCTCGCTGAGCAACTGCTGTGGGATGCAGGGATTTAGCTATGAATGTTCAAACAAGTGAGGAATGTATCAGGGTTTGGACTTTCAGTTTCAAAACGTAAAACAGATGCTCAGGTGTGAATTAAAAGTCGTGCACAGCTCTGAGGTCGCGATATCCCGAATCAAACTGGTGGCTTATGATGTATGGATGTCGGTTGGTCCCACTGCTGCGAAATCAGCTATCAAATCAACATGTGCCTCCTGTAAACATGTAAAGCTTCTTGTAACAAGAAACAGCCGCGCTCGAATCACAATCTGTTTGACCTAGTAATTAAAGCAACAAAAATTTACTTCTGAAGCAGATATATTGCTTCGCTTCTCGATCTGTCTATTCACTTTACTTCAATAAAAATCCTGTAGTAGCTTTCTTGTGAAGGGTGAAAATTCATGTTACGTGCGGATCCATTGTTTGTGGACGTACTTTGCCAGAAGCCATATTGTGTTAGCGAACGAATCTCATTATTCCACGAGGGGACAATATTTTCCTCCAAAGCATTGGTAACTATGTTGGTCAAAGCAAATCAGTAAGACCTAACCGTTTTCAAGTTGCCGCGCACATGTCTACTTTTCGTTAGTCGAGTGCGACTTCAATAGCTGTTTTGATTTTGAGATGTCCGCCTTTCAGCCGTCGCGACAATTTGTTGTTCCACCTGTGGTATCGACTTCACTTGAACTGCAATCTCTCCATCAGTAAGCAGGTAATACAAAGATTGATGCTTTATAAAATAAGCGCGCGTGTGTCAGCTAGTGGGTGTTCATGGCTAGTTGCAGACCATGGTGTGTCGAATGCCTTCAGGCTAACTGAACAAACGAGCAAGCATGGCTTCGGCCAGGTCAACTTAGAAGTCTTCACTGCGTTGTAGGCTTTTTATACGTTCGGCAGATTAGCGAATGTTTTTGCGAACTCAGTATAAAGATTAGATGTATTAATATAGCATCGCCACTACCAAGGAGCAAAGCTTCCTAGCTCGCCCTGTAGGGTTTCATTTAAATTATCAGTGGAACTGTTTCGTACTGCGCGTTTTGGGTGGTTTGGTCGACTTCTTCGATGGCAACCCAACAACCATCCCAATACTGCATGCCAATTCTTATACCCAAAATGGCTTCCAAGAGCCACACACACGATTAAAATGTGATGATCATAAAAAGCACTGCCGATAGGCACTGAATCCAATTTTGCTTTTCGCGGTAAACAGTCAGTGAAGTAGACCAGCGGATGAACGTTCAAACTAACCTACGTGGGCGTAAATAAACAACTCATTCACAGGCCTAATGCGATCGGAATTCACTAAGCATATAGAACAAACGGCCTCTGCTTTAGGAATCAATGTCTTCTAAATTGAATGTGTCGAAATGTCACAGGTGTTTCGATATTGCCAAAACCAGATCGCGTCGTGCATTTTGATAACGACATCGTTGTTCGGGTATTTGGGCGTTGGAATATTGGAGTTTTATTATAATGTTCACTTTCACACCTTTCTGTATTGTAGAGTATTCCTTTCTCAGCTGCCTAAATCACAGCCCAGAGCAAAAGATGCTGCTTGTCTCAGAAATATAATCTAGGATTGAGTTGTAAAAATGCGATATTTTGTGGGTAATTTCCTGGAAAACTATATCTTTTGTACACAATTCTCCGAAGAAGAGTGCAGGCGGGATAAACGAGGCATCTATTTGGTAGCACTGCTCCATCCATCAGTCCGATAAATAGAACTGGTCCTAGAATTCGGAAACCGTGCCTTTTGTGTGCCTCATCTAAAAGGAGAGAAAGGATTTCCATCGTTGTGCGATGAGCAACGCACCCGATGATTGACAGATGCCCCTGATTTGAAGCTGCTTATAATGAAAATATCATTTGCTAAAGAATATTATTGTTTTGGGCTCTGGATAGTGGAACACTAGTTGAAAGAATCGTTCATTCGTAGCTTCTTCCAGCGCCTAGTTGCGGTGCTAGCTTAATGGAGCATGAGGGGTGAGATGAGGCCGGGCACCCAGATCGGTTGGAGAGAAAGGGTTGGACAGGACAGGTAAAATAGGGTAAATGCTGTTCGTCATATTCCCATCTGCGTACCGAAGACGACGCTTTTCTGATTGGAGAACTATCTTTGTTTTTGGTGGCGGAAATCCAAATTTATTTTCAATAGATCCAGCAAACCTATCGCCCTGTATCTATGCATACGGGTCGTTGTGGCACAGGAAAATACGTTTGCCGTTGCTTGCAAGATTTACTGTTTGCAAATAACGGTTCAGTGACTTTATGGCCACATTCATTTCTATCAGCTACGTATGTAATAGGTGGTCCAGTTCAGGACACAATTTGGAGAATGGACGCCCTGCTCAAAAGATTAACCCGGCCATGAACGGCTTCCAATCTCACATGGACACTTCCTCACAAAGTGACAGAATTTATTTGATTGAGCCAGCTGCGCTCCAAGCATTTCGCCGTGAGCTGTAAGGTTCCTCCAGCCGGCGCTAGCATTTTGCTGTATCTTGGCGAGCATGCTACACGATAACATGGGAACGCTAGTATTGGTGGGTATTGTTTTTCTCCGTACGCAAGCTTGATGGGTTGTATATTTGTCAATTAATAACTAGTTTGATTACTAGACAAATGAACAGCGGTCCACCTACACAGCCTTGAACCTACCTTGGTGATGTTACCTATGCGCTAGACAGAATACCAAGAAGTTGGCTTCCTAGACAAGCCGATGCAACCGAATTATCAAGCAGTTCGGGGCATCTGTCCATCTATCTACACAGCAACTGATTTGCTTGGTCAAGCTCTTGCCATAGTAATAGGATTTTACGTGAAAATTTGTCGTCATTTTAGCGCGTGATATATCGAGTGCAAAGATTGCACTTTTGGGAACTGACCTCAACAGCAACATTAAATTTCCTGCATGGTTGGCAGGATGTTGATTACTCCTAGACCTGTAATTTGGAAGGCAATCTGCTGTTAATCGCAGCATTGTGCGTCACTGGAATTTCCTCCTTCGAGAAATCATAGTTGTCTACCCCGGCTGCAGTGTGTTTGCATCCATCCTTCATCTTGATCCGTCTCCTGCATGGGGAGATAAAATTGGGTATCACCATGATCAGATGAACAAGCTATTTCCTGGTGAACTTTGAAAAGGCGATACAATCAGGGTGGGTAAGATATAGTTGGCCCTAATGCAGCCTTGATTTTTAGTTGGTTTTCCAGCATATATGTGTTAATATTTGGAACACCGTTCATGGGTATAAAATCGAACTCTTGCGCACACCATCACTTGGTCGGTCTCATTTACTTGAAGACAAAGTGTATTTGGACTAATCATTTGAGCCACTTATTTGCTTATTCAATGTGCTGATTTCGGTGATTCATCAACCTATTTATGCGAATCATTCGGAAATTAAAACAACTGGAAACATTCCTGAACCATTTCGGCTGACGAAAACGCCCAAAATTTTGTGCCCCATAATGCCACTAATGGTGTGCAATACGGCGGTCTTAGTTTGTTGACTATCAAAATTTAATTTGATTGTGTGCACGCGATAAACGAGAGGTGCAAATCCACCGCTACCGTTAGACGCCAGCTCCCTTGATGCCACAAACCTCAAAATCATCTAACAACACTCAGTTATTTTCGGTATAATGAAGAGGATTTTGAGTTTCAAAAATGGTCTTGCAAACGCCGGTTGCTTTTGCCGGAATCAAGTTGATTTTCATCCCTCAGACAAGCACGTAATGTCTGCTAGGCTAGTGACAGTCTCAGTGCATGCTTCATGTGATCTGAACACTTTGACTTCTATTTTCATGGAAAATGAAACCATGAGCTGTGAGTTTGTACGTTGGATTAAATGCATTCTGCTCCAGTCCTCTCGCTTCCCTAATTATCAGCACGTTGTCACATGCAGGCGTAATTAGTTCGAAAGCTAATTAACTAATTAATTACTTTTCAAGAGTAGCATTCGACATTCCCATGATCGAATAACTGAGCCACCTAATGTGATCTGCATTTCTACACAAGCCAGTTACAGTTTGCATGAAGGTGAAAATTTCAGGGTGTGAAATTATAGCATTCTGGTCTAACTTGGCTCAAGCTGAGCATTTAGATTATCAAGTGGGC